AAGTTACAACCAGCAGCACGATTTAGTAAGGGGAAACATTTGTATTTTCTATTCTGTATCAGATAAAAGTCATAAAACAAAAACAAAAACAAAACAAACTATTATGATCTGAAAAATGAGAAAATTGTGAAAAGAATTGCATGCTATGCTGCTAGCACATGCTTCTCTAGCAAATGAGAATACATAAATGTATGAAACCAATAACATTAGTAAATGTTACCAATTTAAGTAGGCAGCACTCTTTACAACTTTCAAATAACAGAAGAGCAAGAAAACCTTCCACATAATACACACCGCTAAATTTCTTCGCAGATAACGCATCATTTCTTCATAGTATTCACTTTCTCTGCATACTTTTCGAGCAAAACACGTGTTCCATGGGAGCCTCTTCTTTATGCAATGTTCGATAATCCTGCATAACAACCTAGTTAGTTACAAATAGCAATAACCCTATATAAATATGAATCAGAGTTATTAGATAATACCTCCACTACGTGTGAAGGTTTCATAGTAAAAAATCAGTAAGCATCAAATATGTTCTTCATATCCTGGCTTATTAAATATCTACAATACTATTTCTTCAATCAAAATGCCAAAGTAGCTACAATATTTTAAATCCTTCCATCGTCTTAACCACCAGAGACCAGAGAGTAGTGGATGAGCATTTCATTCCTTTGCCAAATTTGGTAACAGACATAGTATGTGAGGTTTGTTTCAGCCAGGTCATTCTAACATCCTATCATGTATACTCCAGGGCTGTAGGCCTCTAACTTGATTGCATGGCATAGTATGATATTAAGTCACACAAACACAACAAATTTTACCCTTCTGTTAATGAAATGCAACAAATTTTAAAGAACTACTCATTTCTCCTTCGTTCAAGCCAGATAAATTTTACCCTTCTGTTAATGAAATACAACAACTTTTGAAGAACTAGTCATTTCTCCTTCGTTCAAGCTAGATATCTTTAAAACTTGCTGATTAAAGAGCATCCATCCGCTAGTGCAGACAATATCAATATAAATTTGATCATAAATGTTTCTGCACTAATATTAATAAAAAAAAATATGAAAATAAAAAAGAAGTAAACCTTCTATGCCATTCTTCTCTGGAATTCAACGAAGCTTGAAGCCGCTTTGGAAGACTTTCCCAGGGGCATTCTTCCTTGATAGCCTTGATCGTCAGTTGATCTTCTATTGTAGCAGGAACGTGCTGCATCTTGCAAATCCCCGCCAAATAACTCTAGTTGTCAAAACACAACTGCCCAGTCCCTGCAAATAACTTCGAGAACCAAAGCAAATTAGAAACGCCTCCGCTTTTTTAGAATCGGATTGACCGAAATCATATTGACAGTATGTTCATACCTACTCCGTGAGCTCTTCCAGCCGGTAAAATGTGCATAAAACTTCAATCTAATTAGGGTTCGGTGTTTTGATCTTGCATCTTCGTCGGTTCAACTCCAGGGAAAGGGAGCAGAGATCTAAGAAATGACTAATGAGGGTGGTCAAATCGAATTCATGAGTTAGCCAGTGAAGGTGTTGCGTTTTAATTGCTTGATGCAACTTGCAGCCTTGCAGGGCACACGGCCTTGGTTTGAAGTTTGAACTGTCAGAGTGGGCCACGCACTCTTGTCGTATAACTAGTTTTTGGTACATCCTATATTGTTAATTTGTTATGTATTATTGTGTTAATTGCCCTTTTCATTTTAGGGTGTGTTTGGAAACCTGAAAAATGAGTTCTGAAAATCATTTTTCAAGTTTTCATTGTTTGGATGTGTCTGGAAAATCAAGTCAACGGAAATCATTTTCCGTTGACTTTGGAAAATAGGCTTGTTTTTTAGGAAAATGACTTTTCCTTTTTTTATGGGAAGTCATTTTCCAACTTTTACACTAACATCACACCACCACCAACATCATATCACCACCACTTCACTACCACCATCACTACCACTACTGCCGCCACCACCACCATACCACCGCAACCACCGCCACCACACCGTCATACCACCACCAATTATTATTATTATTATTATTATTATTATTATTATATAACAAATAACATCACTACCACTACACCACCACTACCACCATAATATTTTTGATATATTATTAGTTATTTTTTTATTATATTTAAAATTATTATTATATTATTATATATACATGTTGTAATATTCTAAATAAAAGAATTAAAATGTTTAATTATACAATTGTACTCATTTTTCAGAAAATGAACCAAACACACAAAAACAGTTTTCCAGAATGCAACCAAACACTGGAAAGGAAAATGTTTTCCGGAAAATGACTAATTTTCCAGAAAACATTTTCCAGAAGTCATTTTCCTGCTTTCCAAACGGACCCTTAAATCAAAGTGACATGTTGTCCCGACTCCCGATTCATGCTGACGTGGTGATTAAATTCTAAAAACATAATAAGTGTGAATGAAAGTTATACCCCTAATTTATGTCCGTTTTTTCCGTTAAGTTTTTTTTTACATTATGCTATAAAGGTTGTACATTAAAATATTTTGGACAAACATACCCCTACTATTATAACTTTCGTTATTTTTTCCACTATTGTTACCATGCACATGCATCCACCATATATTTTCTTATCTTCTTCATTAATAATAATATATACACATTAAATATTTGAGTTATATGTTAATTATTACATAAATATAAATATCAAATTTATAAAAATGATTTACATTATTATTATTATTATTTAGAATTTAGAATAATTTAAATATCTAAAATCTAAATAAATTTAAAATTTTAATATAATGTATTAATATTGGACACCTATTTTTTGCGCATCACGCATAAAAAAATACTAGTATTACAATAAATGTTAAAAGTGTATATATAGAAAAGATTCACCCTTCTTTTGCGTTCATTTCTTGCCCGACATGATCATTATTAACTTCTTCTTTTTTTAAGATAAAATCTTTATTAAACAACGGAGAAAGAGTCTTACAATTGATGGTCCAAAAGTGACCAGAAAACATACTGAGCCCATAGAATAATAAATGGAGAGAAGAAATAAATAAAAGAGGATGCTGAAATGGAGGCGCAGGATCCCCTTATCGGCACCACCAATTTTCGCAGAATCCAGCAACATAATGGTTGTTTCAATGATAGCAGTCTGTACCTGCGTGCTGCCATGTACTATTGCGCCACCATGCCGCACCACCACAAAGTTGCAATGCCGCGACCCTGCACCACAATGCAACGATGCAACAGTGCCAATACGGCCGCAACGCTTCGCGTCCACGTCTCGTCTAGTGCTATTGGCTGGCTCCAGGTTAGGCCATTTTGTAAGATATCCGGCGGCGTAACGGTGCTGCAAGGCTATCTCACAAGGACAGATATATACAACAACAGATGTCCAACCATCAGCACAAAGGCCTAAAAAAGATAAGCCAAAACACCAAATCAATTTCATTTTAATTGCATTGTTTTAAGCAGCTTATCGGGTGACGTACTACGAACCCATGACCTTTGGTCTGACTCTGATATCAAATTAAAGCATGTGTTCCATCTCAACTAAAAGCCTAAGCTGATAATTAGATTGTACATTAACAGGGCGTTTGGTTGGAGGGGGGGAATTATGTGGGAAAGGAATTGTAATTCCAAGGGAGTTGAATTACTGGGAATAAAGTGGGAATTTAAATTACAGTGTTTGGTTGACAGGAATAAAATTACTGGGAATTTCAATTCCAATGTTTGGTATACATAGGAATTGAAAGGGAATAAGTAGTATAAAGTCAAAAATGTCTATTATTGTTGTTAGACATTAATTTTAGGTTAAAAAATGAAGGGGTAATTTTGACTCATCACTATCTTTTTTTTCCCATGAATTAAAATCCCAAGGAGACATGAGATTTTAATTCCATGAAAATGGGGGAATTGCAATTCCATAGAATTGCAATTCCCTCCAACCAAACTATAGAATTTAATGGCATTTGGAATTAGGTTGGAATTAAGTGGGAAGAGAATTTAAAATCCCTCCAACCAAACGCCCTGTAATGGATATATGCTCAACATTGTTTCTATTAGTATGCTTTAAATGGGTGATCAACTAATTAGGCAACTAATTTGTTTGTAGACCTATTAGTTAATTCGAGAATTTATACTTATATTTCTCCAATTTTATTTGTGACAAAATGATTTATGATTAAATGTATATCGTTGTTTACTTGAAAGAACAAAAAAAAGTTATTGATATATTTTGTTGTAATATTCCACACCGCTTAACCTTCTTCAAAATTTGTTGACTTGCATTTTCATGAAAATCAAAATCAAAATTATATAGTATCCAAATATGTGAACACCAAAATATCAAAATTTCCAATTGCAAAAGGCACTCAATGGGACATTCCAATTTTCCAATTAAAATTCAGTTATACTACTCTATTTGTTTAAATGTATATGGCATATTTATTAATTACTGGTTAAATCAATTTGTATTCTTTACTTTTTTTCAATGTTAAAAAAATCGTTAAGTGTCTGGGACCGCCTAGTGCCTAGGCGCGATTTTTGTAACATAACTTTTTTTTTTAATCTAAATTTTATTTTGTGTGTGTTTAATATAAGTTCCCAATATATATATATATATATATATATATATATGTTAATAATAATAAACTTAAAATTATAAAAAAGATTAAAAAGTAAATAATTTTAATCAATTGTTATTAACTAAATTAAGCATATAAAATTAGACAAAAAGAATAATGCATAAAAATTTTAATTTTTTATTTTTATTTTTATTAGATCATGAGGTGTCATGAACATGTCAGATTAATTTTTTTATACTACTATATTTTATGAAAATGCACGAGTACTTATACCAATCAAAACTATTATAAATCTTTTAAAATTTAACAAGCACTCATTTTAATATATTTATAAATTAAAGGAAATGTTCTCACTTTTAGTTAGTACTCCGTACCATTTTGATATCGTTTCAATTCATTTCTAGAGATAGTAAAATATAAATTTGTCAGTTTTGGTGACGCCTCCCAAGACTGCAATATAAAATGGCAAGTAACGTTGACCATGGCTGGCGCGGGCGCGCTATGCTAATTTTAGGGCATCCATTAAAGTTTCGAACTCTGAGCACTTCTGCCCTTGGCGGCCGCCGTCTCCGCTTATATCCGTAAGCATTTCCAAGTATTCATTCACCTCTTATCTTTATGTTTTCGTCTAAAACGTCCACATTACACTCGCGCCGAAACCTTTGTTTGTACTTGATCGATTCTATCAAGTTAATATTCATTATTTTGTTGTGTAGAATTTTATGTTTATGTTTTTTTTTTTTTAATAGCTAAATACTGTAAAATTTGTTGCTGTAGCCGGGGATATAGACTGATGGCGGAGCGCAGCAAGTGTTCAATGGCTCTTCAGTTTGAGGTATATCTATTCGATGTTTCGTTAGTTTAGTAGTTTGACTTTGATTATGATTGATTGATGGTGCTCGCTGCATGCTATCCCAATATTACGACGATTTCATTGAAATTGGCTTTTCTGAGAATTATATTGGGTGTGTTTGGTTCGTACAAGGGAATTGGAATCGGAATGAGAATCAAATAATTGATAATGATAATGGGTTTTGGCGAAAGTATTTTGCATGTTTGTTAGTATACCGGATTTGGAATGATTACCAAATGTTTGGTTATGTATGGCTCTATAATGGGAATAAAGCTTTTAAAAATACAAAAAGAAAAAATTAAGGCAATTGATCCTAATATAATTCATCCAAAACACCAATATAAATAAAAAAAAAATCAAAACAAAACTTTAAAAACACTAATCTAAACTACTAAACTTAAAAGTCAAATTGTCAAATAATATGACCCGTTTTTAATTAGGGAATGAGGTTTTTAATTTAAGGGGTAATCAAATCCTCAAATCTTATAGTTGTGTTTTAAAAAGTTGTCAACTAAACACTAAAATGTGATTTTGATTCCCATTCATGATGTGTAAACCCATGAACCAAACACACCTAAGTATTTTCATGGCGGAGCCACATGGGTGTTTAGGGGCATGATATTATTATAATAAGAATAAAAACACTCATTTGGCCCCCTTAGTTTTTATTTTTTAAATTATACTATGTATATATTAAATAAGCCTAAAACATATATTGAAGTCTATATTTACCAAGTAAAGCAAAATAAATCAAGTAATCAAATCCTTCATTATTTTTTTATTAGCTTATTTCTGTTCGCAAGGCAGTAGGCAACAAGTATCCAATTTAACTTAAAAATCTGTAGGGTATATGCATTAGTTTTATTAGTCGATTCATTAATAATTAGTGATTTATTATGTGTTTTTATTATTTATTTACACTTTTAGGATGTACATTTGCTAATTCAAAGGATTAGTTCCGGAACTAGAAATACTAATGTTAATATTGGTTCTTTAATTCATGATTATAAGTTTCGCCCTCATCCTTCAAATTTTGGAATGTAAAGTTAATCAATAAAATGAATATCAGTTAATTATCTAAAAAAATGTTGTCAACAAAATAACTCACAACTTTTATTTGATAAAAAAGTGGCAAGCAAGATTAAAATAAAAGTACATTTATTATTGTATATATTTTGTGTTATGTGAAATTATATAAAGTCCCGATTGACATTAATGCGAATTGTATTCGTACAATTGTATAGTTCATACATGATTACACAAAGTATCATTAAAAAATTATTATCAATAATATATAGTACAACTATGTATGGTACTGATGTTGACTTACATTGTAAATTTTTGCCATAATTTTGGCCCCCTGACATGATTTTTCTGGCTCTGCTAAAATAATAGATTACAATATTGTAAGTAAGCAGATTGGTATAGTTTCCCAGTTAAGAAACATCGGTTTTATCGTTCCCACTTCAGATTCTTGGGAGGTTCAATCGTGCCCGAGCTGCTCGTCTCACACTCCCTCATTATGTGTGCCAAACACCTCTATTTATGCCTGTTGGAACACAAGGTCAGAATGCATTAATCTGAATTTTACTGATAGAATGACAATCACATGAATTATATCTCCAACAATTAAATAATTTGCATTATTCTATTGTTGTTTTTCCATAAGTTGGCCATAAAGAAAAAGGCTTGGGTCATACATCCTTAGTGAAGTTTCATCAATCCTTTAATTCTGGAGTCCCAGCACAGCTTGTTTGGTGTGAACAATTGCCATACATCTGTTTGGCTGAGAAAGATCAGTAGATAACAAAATTATCCTGTGACAACTGCAATATTTTAAGATTCTTAAAAACCAATTTATATGTTTTTTTACTCTATACTCATGAATAAGGACAAATTTGGAAACCACAAATATGGCACTTGTCTTATTCATTTTTTTAACCTAATTGGGCAGATTCTTCAACTGGTGTATATATATAACTTTATTCCTAAGAGTACTATATTTTGCACTCATTCATGACCTCTAGTACATGGATTTCTATATTTCTGGGTTACAGGGACTATAAAAGGCTTGACTACCAACCAGCTTGAGGACATTGGTTGCCAAATAATACTTGGAAACACCTACCATTTGGCTCTACGCCCTACTTCTGAACTTATTGATGAGCTGGGGGGACTGCACAAATTTATGAACTGGCCAAGGGCTTTGCTGACTGATTCTGGAGGCTTTCAAATGGTTGTCTATTGTTAATGGCTTTTACTGTTGATATAGAAATTGCCTACTACTGAGTATTACTTATTATACTAATTACTTGTATCTTTTGCTTGTTTACTTTTTAATTGATATTTGCTAATTTGCTTACTAGATAAAACCTATTTGCCTGGCTTTATAATAAAACGTCGATATTTGTGCATCACTTATTTCAGGTCTCTTTATTGCACTTGGCTGATATTACTGAAGAAGGTGTAACTTTTCAGGTAGTTCCTGCTCTCTCATATCCTTTCTAATACTAAGCTATGTAGTTCACTTAAAATTGAACCACTAGTTGAACATCATGATTTGACAAAGGCACAAAGCTACTTTACATTTTTTTTAAAAAACTTGTTGATTCTCTCTATTTATGCTTGCAAAACCTAGTTTCTAATGACGACGAACAATCTAAAATATATCATTTCCGTTTAGAAAACTTTCCACCCCCCCTCTCCCCTTGAGATGCCAAAATAACAGGGGAAAATGGTACTTTTGACCCCTCAGTTATGGGGTATAAGATGAGATGGCAAATGCTGTAAACAGTCATTGTGTAGTCTTGACTGTTTGGCTGCCTCTTGCAATTATTAACGCCTTACGCCTATTACTAAGGAAAAAAGAAAAATAAACGGAAATATGAGTTTTTTTTGGGGGAGGGATGGTGTTAATGGAGTATAGGAGAAAGTAGTGATCAACAAGGTATATATTGTTACTAATTGTGTGCTCCCCCAATTTTCATTTTATCTGCCATTTTATTTTATTTTTTCACAATTCATTTCCTGTTTTATTAAACTTTTTACTAACAATTAGGTTTGTTTTCCCAATCTTCTTTCATATGATTGAAAGGACAGAGACTTACTCAAGTTCAAGCTTTAATACATGCCTCCGTTTTGGAGTGAATACATTCACACAATATATACAGTGGTTAGATATAAAGCAAAAGACTGAGAAACACTATCATCATTTCCATGTAGAAACCTCTAATGCTAGTGAATAATGTATTTTGCTGCAATTCCTTCGAAAATTTTCATGGATGTCCCCAATAGCTTTAACTAAAAGTTTTGCATCCATTTCTTCTCCTACGTTATTGGTAATTCTCTTTTTCCTTTTGCAGTCTCCAGTGGATGGGAAACCAATGCTACTCACACCTGAAGAGTCAATACAAATACAAGTATGTACATTATGCTAGAAATATGGAAATCAACATCCAACAAACTTAGACCCTATAGATAACCTCCCCCAGGCTTAGAATTAGATTCATTCAGTAATTCAACATTCTTTTGTATTATTTATTGATTCTTTAATCCATACTGCAGCATGTTAAGAAGCTAATCCGTTCTTCCCTCATATCATAGAATTTACAGTTGGGGACTGTATTGTTTATGCATTCCTTTGTGCCCTCTCTCACAAGCATTCGGACCTAGCCAACTTTAAAATTCCATTTTTGTTTGGGGAAACACTATTAAAACCCCTGTTACATGAAGTCATGAAGAGTTTTCTTTAACTTTGTAAGGAGTGGAGTCAACCTTTATAAGAAAAACTACCTACCATAAAACCAGTTACATTTGTCTTACATGATATACTGGGCCAAATACTGAAATTAAGTAGGTTATCATCACTTGAATTAATAAACTTATATGTATGTTCTTTGAAAATCAAATTTTTGTACTGCTGCTTAATCAACTTGTTTATAGAGTTAAAAGGATCAGCAAAATCCTTTTTTCTTATTCTATTAAATAATAGTTGTCTTGTACACTGTTCCCTACAAAATTGTCAGCTTTTACACTCTTATTTTGTTGTTTGTATCTTTTGTGCACTTTTGTTATTGCAGAACAGAATTGGAGCGGATATTATTATGGCTCTTGATGATGTTGTGAGAACCACAATCACAGGTCCACGAATTGAGGAAGCAATGTATCGAACTCTTCGCTGGATAGACAGGTGCATAGCAGGTAATATGATCTAATGATCTGCAACAGGGAGCAACCATTTTCAGACAAAAAGGCTAGTCAAACTTTGCAGATGCATATCCAGTAATTTGAATCATATGCAACTGTATTTAAGGAAAAACCTTTCCAGTCCTCAGCAAGTTTTTAATGTTCTAAACTGTATATTTAGCCAAAAATGAAAAGAAAAACATTTCAATATGTTAAAATGGTTAATGAGAACTTATAGGCTGACTTTATTCAGAATTTCCAAATAAGTATAATTTCCTCATTAGTTTTATGTGTTTTATGCAAACCTCCTGTTTGTAGTCTGTGTTCTGTTTAATAACAACACTACCTTCATTATGTTACTGGACAGCTCACAAAAGACCGCATGAGCAGAATTTATTTGGCATCGTGCAAGGTGGTTTAGATCCAGTGTTAAGGTGACATCACCTAAATATTCCTATTCTTTGATCAATGTTTGTATTTATTCTTCCTAACCTAATTACTTTCCTATTAGGGATATATGTGTCAAAGGTCTGGTGGATCGTAATTTGCCTGGGTATGTTTAAACTTCATTAAATTTTAAATTATTATGCTCAAATGTTATTTTATCATTTCAAGCCCCAGCAAGTAGTATTTATTAGTCTGCTAAAAGAGTCTATATTCTATAACCACTGAGAGCAAGACTGAGGCAGTCATGGTTGGTTTGCTTCAAGTTTCCCCTTTCCCTAACTATTTTTTATCTATTTGTTGATTACCCTTTCCTTGTTATCTAATAGTTGTTGGAAGATTGAACTCAAGACCACTAATTTTCCAGTATGTAGTTGGATTAGTTTACTTGTGGGCCAGCGATAACAATTGAATGGAATAACAAAATTTACTTGTCACAGCTATGCTATTGGTGGTCTTGCGGGTGGTGAAGATAAAGATTCATTTTGGCGTGTTGTGGCTCAGTGTACTGCTTCATTGCCTGAGGACAAACCACGATATGTCATGGTGCATTTCACTCTGTATTTATTTTGCATTTTTCTGTTTCTGATGTATTTTCTGATACCTTGGTTTTTATATGGTCCAGGGTGTTGGATACCCTCTAGATATTGTAGTTTGCAGTGCTTTGGGTGCTGACATGTATGACTGCGTCTATCCTACTCGCACCGCTCGCTTTGGCACAGCTCTGGTGCCTGAGGTGACAACTTGATTTGTGATATGGCTATTATCCATAATCAGTTAATTCTTCCATAATCTCTTTAATTTTGGCTGAAATGCAGGGAGTTCTGAAGCTTAAACACCAAGCAATGGCTAATGACATCCGTCCCATCGATCCTACATGTGACTGTATGGTATATTCCTTTACTATTCTTATTGCCTCATTTTGACTGCAAATGCTTTATTCTAAACTTCAGAGATTATCATTCTACAGGTCTGCAAAAAATATACCAGAGCCTATATTCATTCCCTTGTTACAAAAGATGCCATGGGTTCTCAACTTTTGTCATATCATAATTTATATTACATGATGAAGGTATCAATGTATGCAAAAAGAGTGTTTCTTTTTACATTCATCATTGCACTCAAATACTGTAAAATATTTTAACTTTGCAGCTTAGCAGAGATCTACACTCATCAATTGCTCAAGGATGGTTTCCAAAGTATGCTTATCTTTAACTCCCTACTGACTTCTGGTTTGGTTATTTTCTTTCTTAATGTTTGGTCATATATCCCATTTTAAAAAAATACACATTTTCTCTTGCAGATTTGTTTGTGAGTTTCTGCAGAAAATGGTAATCACTCGTACACACAACTCATTTGTCTGTATTTTATGGTTTTTGGAATAATGAAAGAAACAGGAAACACACAGCTCCTATTCTCTCTTTGTTCATACTCAAAATGCTGTTTATTTGTATACGTCCATCTTGCATTCCATGCATGGCAAATATTCTTTTTGTGGATTTTATTTGGATTGAATTGTTTTTGTTGTGTATCATTACTATTTTTCTGGAGTATGAATGACATCATTGTCTCTGTTTGATGTTATCCTACTCATCAATAAATAGTTGTAAACCTCATTTTCTCCATGGGGGAACTTGCTGAAAAATTAGAGCTTTGCCATATGCATTAATACATTAAGTAATCTTCAGGAGATCAATATCTGTTCATTTATTTTACAGAACATCATAATATCAAGCATGTGTTTACATAAGCATCTCTTCTTCTATTGATCATAAATCAAATCGGGTGATTAAGACAAGCATTTTTAGTATGAATTCCCTTTCTCCAATGTCCCATCCATGGCATGACTTCTATAACATCTACACTTGTGGCTTTGCTGTAGTCTGGATTTTGGTAAAGTTTTTCACACTTCTTCACCTCACAGAATATGTAATTGGTTAACTTATTGGATTGGTGTACAATGTTTTGTCCTCCATTACAGTATTACAGTTCTCCCTGTTAACTGTTTTATGATTTCATACTTTTAATGTTGATCTGTAGTTCCCCAAAGGCGATGTTCCTGAATGGGTCTGCAATGCCATGGAGGTTGCTGGAATCGACATTTCTTCATGCTGTGCTCCATTTTCATCATCCGAAATGAAGCCTAGTGAACACAGAGCATAAGAGGTTGGGGGTGCCATGGCATTCTTACATTGTGACATGGAAATAGGCTACTGATTATACCCTCTTCTGTTAGATTTTCCGTCTGAGTTAACAGAGAGAGTTGCACACTAACAAAGGCAGCGAGGTAACAGTTTTGGTTATCTTCTGACATAATTAACCTGACACTGAGGATAGGAAAAAATATAGATTAATTTACTGAACTGTACTAGTTCAAAACACATTATGCTGTTGGAGTAGTCAACTCAGTTTTGAGACCCACAAAGATTTAGACTTATTTCCCAATCAGAGGACCATAGGCATGTACCCTTTGCTTTTTTGAGCTACATGAGAGCATGGGTGATATTGCAGCATACATTTTGTTGTAGTATGCTGCCACACTAGGATCACACATGTCAGGAATCTTTTGATGTAACAGAGTTATACGAAAACAAATTTTGCACTGTCAATTTGATTCTTAGTTCTTACAAAAGGTTTCCTTTCAATGGGGAATTGCTTTTTATACAATACCTTGTATTGAGATGAAACTTCCATATTCTTGTTGTCTACAAGTTCAGTTCACCACTGTTGTAGAAGAGGATTCCCAATGTCTCTGTACCGTGTATTCTATGGACAAGTTTAAAGTGTTAGGACAAGGCAGAGCTGCTAATTATTCCTAAACCCAAACGACATAAAGTGTTAGGAGTAAATCGTGAAATGTAAGTTAATTCGCACATTGTAGTTGTAAGTAAAGTAGGCTATTTGATATTTGAACTATGTTTTGGGGTACTCTTTTCCATTCTCGTCAAGCAAGGGGCTCAGGTGTGGTGGTGACCATTAATAAATAATACGGAGTAATAAAAAGCTAATGAGTTCGGCAAGATGGTCATTAATGAACTTATAGGTTTATTTATAGACTAATTAGATTACAGCTGTTCTATGTTCACAAGAATCAAGAACTTTTTCGAAACGTGCTTATCCAATCAGGAATGTTATTGAATGGATATCCACTATATTGTTCCAGGCAATTTTAGCTGTGAGTTTTTGAGAAACCAGAATATATAAAGTAATTTGTCGACAACTGCTCTTCAATCCTAACTATCAAACGTGGTATGCTGAAGAGTCTCAATCGCTAGACAAGTTCACACAATTTTTTTTTTACATAAACTAATATTTTTACCCGTGCGATGCATGGAATGGAATTGTTGTAATATATTACATTACAGACAACCGAGTCAAAAGTTATGTCTTGTCGAACTTTTGACACTTCACAACTTTAACCCAGAATTATTGTACGAATGGGAAAGTAGAAATCAATATATTTTATTGGGGAGAGAGATTTTTTAGGAATTGGACGGGAAGTTAAAATTTCAGGATTTTGTTATTATATATATAGTATAGATTAGATGTGCAAAGGGAATTGTATTAAGCTATTTTATTTTATAATTTTAGAATAGATTTTTTACGCAGAATTATTGTACGAATGGGAAAGTAGAAATCAATATATTTTATTGGGAAGAGAGATTTTTTAGGAATTGGGCGGGAAGTTAAAATTTCAGGATTTTGTTATTATATATAGTATAGATATAGATAGATAGATAGATTAGATGTGCAAATGGAATTGTATTACACTATTTTATTTTATAATTTTAGAATAGAATTTTTACGCAGAATTATTGTACGAATGGGAAAATAGAAATCAATATATTTTTTTGGGAAGAGAAATTTTTTAGAAATTGGGCGGGAAATTAAAATTTCAGGATTTTGTTATTATTATATATAGTATAGATTATTAATTATTAATTATTACCAATATAAGTGCCTCAGTTTTGTATTATCTAAATTGGTTATAAAATTAATTTTATAAATAAACAATAATTATTTACAAAAATATCACCACCTAATAACATTGTAATTTTTTTAAGTTAATCTTAGATCCATAACCAAAAGTCTTGTGATGTAACTAACTACTTTGACTTGTGACTTTCACAAAATCAATTTCTCACCTTCTTAATTAATCATTAAGTGCAAACTATTGTTGTGCGATGATCATTTTAGCCTAATGGTATGCTCAAGGGTTTGAACATCAGAAAATGTATGTCGCATATTTAATTTGTCCTTGATCTAATTCATGCTAGCTTGTTGCGAGTTCAGTTAAATATAATTACTTCACTTAATTCTTTTATTCTCTTCATCTCATTTTATATATCTGGTTTGATTAATGATATTTAATTCAAGTTATTTACAATTCAAATTTTTAACAATATTTAGTTTAGTATTAGTATATAAAATTTATATATTTAGAAACTCCATTAAAAATACTATTAAACACAAAAAGATATGAATTTAAAAATTATAATAAAATATTTAAAAAATAAGCGAAGAAAAAATTAAAAATTAATTTGATAAATAAACAGTAAACAAGATAGGTAAAATGGATAATAAACAAGATACATAATTTGAGACTAATGAATTATTAAATAAACACTTTATGGTATTTAAGTTCGACTTATGTAATCAAAGAAGTCAAGTTGCTTGAGACTATTAAACAAGCCAAGTTCAATCTTGTTCATAAATAAGATGCAGACGTACATGACGCATATATTGGAAGAGAAGATCCTCGAAGTAATTCCTATAATAGTAAGATTTGACATACACATAACATCTTATTTTTGCAAATGTTGTTTATCAAAAATAAACAAATAATTAAATTAATAAGCAGAGTTATTTAAATACAAAGTAATTGTCTAATATTTGTAATCGCACTATGAAGACTCTATGCGATAAATTCAATCAAAAAATAGTATTAAACTATTGACAATAATTAAATGCATAATTATCTACCTATCATAATTACGTTTCACTCACTTACTCACCTATTTTGAAGTTATATAAATTCTTTTAATTGAATGATTAGTGTAAATTTAAGAGTAGCATATTTTAATGTATCAATTCCCAAGCTAAAATGTTATAAGAGATCTCTGTCGGATCATAATTATGTTTAATCAATTTTCATTAATTCATTTCTCAAATCCAATCCAACAGCAATCTTGCAGCTAACATCATACCCGTGCGTCTACAGTGCCTTGTCCAATTAGATATTTTGTGATTTATTTGGTACACTTAGATATTTTATATGCAATTATTCGGAAAGATTCTTTTAATTTGCTAATTTTTTCCTTTGTCGGGATCTATATATATATATATATATATATATATATATATATATATATTACATTAGAATAATTTTATGTAACGGGTTGACCGAAAAAGTATTGACAAGATTTGAACTTGTGACTTTGTGAGTCGTGACCTTTCGATATGAAAATTATGCTCATTATTCTTTAGTGAAGTTAACTAACTCTTCTTTCATTATTGATTTATTTTTTAAATAATTTCTTATGATTCTTAAATTTGATTTTTTTTTTTTTTTTTTTTTTTTTTTGGGGAGGGGGGCGGGGTTAATAGACTTTTAACATTGTATGTGTGTGTGAATATTGAATTAAATATTATGAAAATTAAATTACAAGTAATTTGAGCCAAGTTTTGTTAGTTATTCGAACCGGCCATTGCATATAATTTGGACTAAAGGAGTTATTAGATAAGTATGCTAATTGTTTAAAAAGAAGAAGAAGAAGAAGAAGATAAGTATGCTAATTAAGGTAGATTTATGAATAACAAGTGATTAAGTGAACATTCAATAATTGCACAATTGTCCTAAAAGAGGTGAGTGATCGAGTGAGTGTAACATAATTCTCGTATTAAAATATTAAAAGTTCGATTCTTGTCAACACTCTTCTTAGTATGGTTTACCTTTAATTTCGCCGTGCATACCCTTAAATAATTGTTGTGGGCATCTCTTGCCACACAAAATAATAAAAATAAATAAAAAATCCTAACGACGATTAAGAAGCTTAGCCACGAGGAAATGAGGAATGTTTTACTATAAGTTGCATCTGCCGCACTAAAAGGTGGCATTCAAATCAAATGAAACAAGAACGTGTTAGGACGATGATAGACTAGACTACTTCCTCTTTCAGCTGCCCATAATTTTATTAAAGCTAAATTATCACTTTCTAAAAACGAACAAAAGAGAAAAGGGTACGTTTCTTTTGTATTAGACGACAACTCATATTAAATTGGAGTTTGGACAATGTTATATAAATCAAATTTTATTATTTTAATTTAATTAAAATAAGCTAGATAGACATAGATAATGGCCATAATACAAAATATATTTACAACAATAATTTGACATTATTTGAATGTAATTCTTAATTTATAATGATTTGTCATGCGTTATATTCATAGTAACAAATAAATATGAAAATTAGGGGTAACCCTGCAGCCAAGATAACTAAAGACACAAAATTTTAACAATAAGGTCAGGAGTTCAAAATCTCAACCCTTTTTATTTGAATCGATTGACTATAAGCAACCTAGGCTGATTTACCTCTTTGTGGTTCTTTGTTGGCTAGGATTACAATGCGGGGTTTACCTTATTGTGATCCTTAATTTTCTGACTAGGATTACAAGGTGTGTTATTTCTTTGTGGTCCTGTGTCGACTAGGATTATAAGGTGTAGTTTACCAATGCACACCTTTGGATAGAGACTACGAGTTTCCCTCATCACTTAAAAAAAAAAATATTAAATTTTTTATAATTTGTGGGATATTTTATTATTGAATAAAGTATTTGATACAAAAATGTATTCCGAACGTCATGTCATATTATTAGAGCTTTTATTACAACATTGAGTACCCTGCACTCAAATAATGGATAACAGGATAATTATCAAAGAGGACAAGTATTGATGAATGACAGATTTCTAGAATGTATGTAGTAGAGTTACGTTAGTGATTGAATCACATCAAGAGTTGGTGACTTATGACTAGAGTTATATAAATTTGATAGTTTTTAAATAGTATTAAGACGTCATTATGGAGTGTGATGGGTATCTTGATTATGCCCGCATAAGCAGCTCAGTTGGTCATAGGGGTGAAATTTAGAAATAATTATCAGAGATTGAGTTTCACCTGTCGCAGTGTGGGAGCAACCTCTCAAAGTAAGGGGCTCCTTGTGCGCAACCTCTCAAAGTAAGGGGCTCCTTGTGCGCAGTAAGTAAATGTGGCCTGGTTCAATTGAGTTGCTTCTCAAAGTGAGGGGCTTCAGCTACAGTGTGGGAGCAACCTCTCAAAGTAAGGGGCTCCTTGTGCGCAGTAAGCAAAGATGGTTCAACTGAGTTACCTCTCAAAGTGAGGGGCTCCTTGTACGCAATAAGCAAAGGTCTAACATCTGTGGTTCAACTGAGTTACCTCATTTGGCAGTAAGCAAATGTCTAACATCTGTGGTTCAACTGAGTTACCTCTCAAAGTGAGGGGGCCTCACTTGGTAGTAAGCAAAGGTCTAGCCTCTGTAGTTCAATTGAGTTACCTCTCAAAGTGAAGGCAGGACTTGTGCGCAATAACAAAGTTCTAGTCTCTGTGGTTCAACCGGTTACCGGAATTGGGGATTCAACCTGATTTTTGCAGTCTGATTATTTTCCTTCATATCCAAACAAAATTTCATGCTTCAAATATCATTCTAATAAATAGTCTCATAATTTCTTATATACTTGTGAATTTATATATTAATTTTACGACACGAATTAATGAGGAAAAATCAATAATTGATCGAAAATGTCTGGATGGAATTTAGTACATACAGACACATCATTATATATGTAATCGAGATAATTGAAGATCAAATATATAAGAAAATTAAAGGGGCCAAATAAAGCGAAGCATGCCACAAAAAAATTAGACACTTTGATACGTACACGTTTACAGTGAACACACGTGATAAGTTTCTTACTCGTGCAGGCAGCTCGCTGCATATTCTATTCTTTTGACGGCTTTTGGCCATGTCGATCGAGTTACCTTCTTCAACTCTCTCACGCCATCTCATCTCATCTTCTCAATTTTACCACTACCTTCTTTTCACTATTCAATGTATATATAAGCATAAATGTGCAATCCAACTATCCGTCTAAATTTTTTAGTCAATATAAAACACATTTTAGTCAATTCTATGTCAAAAGTCATGGTTCATTGAAATCTGTAAAAAGTAACTGCACACGTGAGGGGCATGTTAAACTTATAATATACTAAATGTGAAATTCAATTATCTCAGCTTTTGATTAAAATAAAATGGAACACATTATATATATATATATATATATTTCCAATTCACACTGAAAATAATGATGAAATTTTCGACCACCTGAAAGTGATTTTAAATTAAGTCGAAAGTCTTGTTCCGACAATTTTTGGTATTCGGAAAAATTTTTATTGCTATTTCCGACCACTTTTTCCTTTTGACTTGATTTAAGATTACTTTCAGGTGGTCGAAAATTTCATAATTTCCAGTAGTGATTCAATCAAATTTATAATATATATGTGTGCGTGCATGAGTGCATGTTAATTACTTGTGGTGGCCGGATTTAATTAGGCAGGTATGCAAATTAAATTGAAGAAGCTTCCAAAAGGGAGTGGCCGGAAAGCGCACACGCCAGAAGTAAGGCAAGTATGAAGCGGGCATGCATGCGTGCGAGAGGGAGGGGATGAGAAGTCAAAAGAAGAGCAAAAAGGGGAATAGGATGCGAATTGATGGAAGCAGTTAAGTAAATATATGATTGAAATTTTACTACAGCTTAGCTTTGCTGGCTTTAATTTCAAGATCGAGATGGAGTCCTGTCACGAACACTAATTAAGTCATCCATTGAAAGCTCAAAATTAAAGTTGCAGTTTTAGTCAATCGTTAGGTGAATCTGTCACCATCCATGAGAATGCTTGCATGCAGCCCGGCCCGCATATGCATGCTTTAATTTAATATGAAAATATAAATATATAATAATAAGAAAAGTATTAGGAAAAGATGGATGCAGCATGGATTGGATGGGGAAATGAGTTTAATGTGGCACCCAGTATATATTTAATTTAATCCTAGGCTCCTAGCTAGTAGCTACTATTACTAGGATTATGATGAGCATTTAACGTTAATCTTTCAAAACTTTAACAAAACAAGTGTGTCGCCCAGCCAATGCCGGGATGTAATCGTGTAGATGAGGTGTAAAAAGTGAGAACTAATCTCAGAATTTATTAACGGTTGAGTCATGAGTGTCTTAATACAAAAAGAAAAAGAAAAAAAGAATATATATAGCCCAGTTTGGTAAAATGACTGTTAGCTGATAGCTGTTTGCTGTTAGCTGATTGTGTTAATTAGAGAGTATAAATACTTGATAACATTAGCTGATTGTAGAAAAGTGTTTGGTAAATTAGCTGTTTGGTATAATTTTTTTTCTCAAAAAGCTAATTGAAAAAGTTGCTAGGAGTAGCTTTTTTTAATTTTAGCCTTTTGAAGTTGCAAAAAGCTAATTAACCAAACATTTATATTGATATTTTAACTAAATCAAACAATTAATAGTGGTCAAATAAGTCATAATTGACCTATAGGCCAATTTTTTACCAAACAGGGCCATAGTCAATTTTATAATTATTACTATACAAATTTTCAAATTTATGATATTTTAAAATGAACCTTATATATGTATATATAGAGAGCGATTTATGTTCAAATGAGAACATGGGACATTTTAAGACATTCATATGGATAAATCATATTAGTCTTCGTTTTTTTTTACATGGGAGTATGTTTTCCACTAGTTGAACCCTCCCCTATCTGCATCTACAAACATAATAAGAACCAATAAAGTTAGTTATTGGTATAATTGTTTGTTGAAATGGGTGGTTCATATTATTTTGATTTTAGTAGTTTTATTATTTTTCCTATTTACCTTCTATTATATCACTTACTTTAATTTTTCAAAATACCCTTGTATTCCATCGGTATAAACTTTAGTAATGGAATATTCCGTTAACTATTTATTATTCTTACCTTAACCATTGATTTTCATAAAGAAGGTCTTAGGTTTGAACCTCCTCATAATCAAAATTGACATAATTGTTAAACATATACTATGAATATGTTAGGTTGTATTAAAAAAATACAATATAAAATTTAACATTAATTTTAGTCAATTAATTAGAATCACGCATTTGGCAGATGAAACGGTACACCTAATTTACAGTATATATTCAACACATATGAGAAACTATGCCTATTATCATTGTCTTTTTGGGAAAGGAGCATTTAGTTTTGTTTTTTAAGGTGTATTGTGTCAAGTCACTAAAATTCCAGTGAAACACACCAAGAGACTAGATCAAATCAAGAATTCATTTCTGGCGGGAGTGGCAACAAGAGGAAGTATTGATCACGCCAATTAATAGAATTTTGTGTTGCAAAAACTATACTTAGGGTACTATCTAGTGAGGATGCATTCATCTAAAATTGTTATGGCACCAGTTAATCTAACATTTCTTCCACAGACCATAGCTATACATTCTTGAAATAATATTTAGTTTTATGAAAAATTTGATAATCTTGCATTGATATATGCCAGGATAATGATACTTTGATAAATTCTGAAACACTAATTTAAAAATATATATTTATATATTGGGGCATCAGACTATTCGCGCAATGCACGTATGGTAACTAGTATATGTAATAAAAGGAGTGTCAATCAATTTTCTTAATTTGAATTAATTCGCTATAAACAACTTAAAGTGATTATTTATTAGCTAGGATTATAAAATTGTCACTGCACAACCTCCCTTAAGTAGTGACCGCGCTGGTTTTACCTTGTTACCCAAAAGAAAAAACAAGAGGGGTGGTGTCCCATGTGAAGAAGTGCAGGTCTCTAAATAAGGAAATATTGTAGTAGGGGTAAATTGGTGGCAGCACACCATGTGAGGGGTTGGTTGCAAACATCAGAAATTTTGGCAGAAAGAGACTGCAAATTAAGCCACGACGACGACGTTGCAATTTCAATTTCTACTGAAATATATTGTCACAAGTTCCCACCCTGCCTTCACCATGCCTACAGCCTGGACTCTCTGCTCCCCAATCCTCTGTTAATTCTTGCACATACATGCATCATAGTTACTCTCATCTTAATTGAAGCATGTGCTCCATCTTAACTAAAAGCCTAAACTGATAGTTGGATTGCCTATATGCTCAACACGCCCCCTCACTTACACGGTGGGTTCACGTGGACCGTAGTCACTTATGAGGTGAATCCATGACCTTTGATTTGTCTCTGATACCAAATTAAAGTGCTCCATCCTAAGCTAATAGTTGGATTGCACATTAATGGCTACATGCTCAACAATCTTTAACTATTTTGCATTTCAAGTTGACACTAATACTAATACTGATAATATCAGGTATAATTATATATGTTTAATTAATTGGTTATTAGATTAGATTGAGTGATCGGATTCAACTCTCCAATTAAATTGTATAGAAAAGCAGAAAAGGAGAAAAAGTCAAAAACATAGAAAGTCATATCACATCAATAAAGAAAGAAAGAGAGAGAAGAAAAAGATGTGCAGTGGCTAGCTGGGCAGCATCATAATAATAATAATATAAATCAAAGTTTACTGCTGTCGCCATACTTAGCTTGTGAAGAAAACAATATAAACTCTGCCCATTTTCCTCTTCCCTTTCCACCTTTCCTGTTTCATCCACTCTCATTGATTGGGTTTTTGATGAAAAGCACCAATCCCTTTTCTTCACTCTACACTCTTTAGCCTTTATACCTATCTTCCCTCACTCTATAACACTCGATCTCTTCATTATTATTCATTCAGTATACTATACTAATCATCACTGCAGTTATGAAGAGGTTCAGTTTCTGTGATTCTTCTGCCACTTTGCTTTATCCACTCCAAGGTAATTCCTGATTCCTCTGCTCTTAAGTCTGATCTACACCATTAGAGTTGCTGTTTTTTTAAAACTTTTTGTATGGTGAATTGCAGAGAAGGATATGAAGGAGAATTTGGTTTACGGCGGTGAATTGCAGGCAATGTTGGATGGGTTGGATGATGAGGATAGTGTAGAAGAGAATGTGGGGATGAATGGGAAGAAGAGGAGATTGAGTGTGGAACAGGTTCATGCACTGGAGAAAGTGTTTGAAGTTGACAACAAGCTTGACCCAGAAAGAAAAGTGAAAATCGCCAGGGAATTGGGGCTTCAACCCAGACAGATTGCAATTTGGTTCCAGAATCGCCGTGCCCGCTACAAGACTAAGCAACTGGAGAGGGATTACAATCTGCTCAAGGCAAATTATGAAACTCTGCACCTTAATTACATCAAAGTTGAACAAGAAAAGGAAGGCTTGATTGCAGAGGTATATAAGTACTATAATCTCCCACTTTTCTGAACTTAACGTAACCCATCAAAAGTTTTCACCAATCTTTTCTTTTTTTTTTCTGCAGCTTAAAGGGCTGAAAGAGAAGCTGGTGGAAGAAGAAAATAATAAAGAATGCAATCACTCTCACTCTGCAAACGAAAACCAAGATCCATCAGCTCCAAGAAACTGTGATTTATTCCAATTGTCATCGGAGACCAAAGATTTGATGGACTTCAAAGACGGTTCATCAGACAGTGACTCCAGCGGGGTGTTGAACAATGAAGATTGCAGCTTCCACTATCCGCCATTGATGCCGCCTAAAAGCTCATCACTTTACCACCCACAGTTGGTGAAAATGGAGGAAAATGGGTTTAACGCAGCTGAGGATTCTTGCAATATTTTCTCACTGGATCACCCTCCTAACCTTTACTGGTACTCCGCCGATTACAGAAACTATTAGTGGATTATTGGATATAATCATATCATTATTAATTCCATAATGGAAATAATTCATGTCTACTACTTCAAGTACTTAACCCTAAACAGGCTTTATTGCTTTTCTAATTACTCCCTAGTAAAATTTTGTAACTTCCATGCATTTTTGGTATTTATTTTTTTGAATGACCAGAAAAATCTACAGTCATTATCTACACTGAATCAGGTTAGATCCCAAACACCTAAATCAATTTAGGTTACTCAAAACAAACCTTTTCTTTTTAAAAGGACTTTATTGATTCCATTCAAGAATCAGGACTCTCGAAACTTTACTACTTAAATTAACGTGTGGGGTGAATTATTAAATCTGGGCATGGAAGACAGACGACATAAGAAGTTAATGATGAGGTGGGTGGTATAAAATATAGATATTTCCATGCCCCAGAAGATCACATTGCATATTCACATGTCTTAACTTGTTCCATGTTTACCCATTTAATAAAATCCTCCATGAAAGGTCTTATGTTGTTGGTTTGTGTCGCCCATGTGGTGGGTGAAGTGCGACCAAAAACGTTGACAACAAGGAATCGGAGTTGTATGTAAAATAGGAGCTAGCTAGGTAGTAGCCACAACCTATGGTCTGCTTTGCCTTTATTAGGACACTGTTGCCTTGCTGGTGGTCCTGAATTGTACACCCAACTTTATTTTAATTTAGCACTGCACCAAACACTTTAAAACATTATATTATAACGTAAAGAATGTAAAAGAATTGAAACCTGGGATTAAAGTTAACAGTTCATGGCATTTGACAACATCAGCTCTTTTTTTTTTTTTTTTTATTATTATTATTATTATTATTTAAGAAAGTGACAATAGTTAAAGGAAATCTAATCCAATCTACTGCAACTGGAATAGCCGTTTCGCTTAAGGGCAGATGGTCACTCTCAAAAAAAAAAAAAAGAAAGAAAGAAAAATTGAATCTAAAATCAATATAAAATATCAAGAGTAAAGTAATATATATATATATATATATATATATATATATATATATATATGTGTGTGTGTGTGTGTGTGTGTGTGTGTGTGTGTGTGTGTGTGTGTGTGTGTGTGTCCTGATTTATATAATTTTTTCTTTTGCTATATCCAGGTTTTCACCAACTGACACAGTGAACTAGTCACAATGTGAGAAAAGTAAAAAAATCTGAATTGTTCCTATAATAGATTTAACGGTTAAAATTTTTTTAAAAAAATTAAAATATGAAGACAAAATGGATCTATTTCATAAATATAACAAACTTCAAAATTTGTAATATGTATGAAACTTACTCTACCACTCTTATGTATGAACTCTATTAATCCCTTTTATATTATTTTCAGCCATTAAATATACTAAATAGACAACTCATATTTGTCAAGAGATCTCATAATGATTCTCATATTAACTAGAATCTATATAGAAGAGAGTTTATGTGAGGACATACTCCCAATGCAAGTAAACAGTGAAGATTGATTTAATCCATCCCTTTAGATAGATCAATAGTTGAAGGATGATGAAAATAAATAGTCAATTTTATAAATATTACAAATTTAAAATTTTATAATAATTATAAAATTAACTATATATTTTTTATTATTAAAATTCTCAACAGTTGATAAATATGATATATAGTTGTGATTGTGCTTCACTTTTTACAATATGATCATATTCTCATTAGCGCAAACTTGGTAGAAAGGGCGGTGCTTGTCAGATAGCAAGGCCCACGGTGATTTTAGAGGCAAATTATGCCCTGGACCCGTGTCCACATTGAATTGTGGACATGGGTCCAAAACGACGTCGTTTTTAAAAAAAAACGCGTCATTTAGTTAAAAAAAAATATTCGCATGCGTTTTGCCGTTAACGGCGTTATTTTTTTTTTTTGATTATGAATGTACAGTTATGCCGTTATGAATGTACAGTTATGCCGTTATGAATATACAGTTATACAATTATGAAATTATGAACACAGAGCTCTAACATTATGAACTTACAATTATGAACATATATAGTGATAAAATTATGACCATGGAGCTTTAAAATTGTGAATATAGAGCTTCGAAGATTATGAATGTACAGTTATGGAGTTATGAATGTACAGTTATAGAGTTATGAATCTACAGTTATGGAGTTATGAATCTACAGTTATGAGATTATGAATCTACAGTATGGAATTATGAATGTACAGTTATTGATCGAATTATGAACAAAGAGCTCTAACATTATGAACTTACAATTATGAACATATAGTGATAAAATTATGAACATAGAGCTCTAAAATTGTGAACATAGAGCTTCGAAAATTATGAATGTACAATTATGGAGTTATGAATATACAGTTATGGAGTTATGAATGTACAGTTATGGAGTTATGAATATACAGTTATAGAGTTATGAACGTACAGTTATGGAGTTATGAATGTATAGTTATTAACATATAGTAATAAAATTATGAACATATACTATTACAATGAAGCGGTCTGAATTTTTTTTTTTTTTTTTTTAAAAAAAAAAAAGAGATAACAGTGCCTAACAGCACTGTTACCCGTGTCCAGCAAGCATGCTGGACACGGGTCCAACGCATAACGATTGGATTTTAGATCGCATGAAAATATGAAATTGCGGCGGCTGGCAAATTATTGTGTAGATCATGGTCCACACAATATTATGTGGATCATAACAAAAAGTACATTTTAAAATACTAAATGTACATTATTTTTGTATTGAATGTACATTATATAATATAATGTACACTCAGAATAAAAATAAAGTACATTCCCTGAATACAATGTATATTATTTTTATACTGAATGTACATTATTTTACAGTAGATAAAATATGGTCCACACAACTTGTGTGGACCATAGTCCACACAATAATGATTGGCGGCGGGTGAGGTTAATGGGCTTAGCTTGAAGTTTAGCCCATTAAAATATATAGTCTGGTGGGCTTTGGAGGATGAAGCCCAATTGTAAAGGTCCAACAGGCCATCTTTGTCAATGGTGTAGTACTATTGTACATTTGTACCGTTCAACGTTATATATGGTAGTCAAGTTTTAGTTCGCCATTGACTTGTCGGATGGATGGTTACTCGTCAATGCACCACTTCAATTGTTCTTCCAATTCCAACACATTCTTTGACTACGTAATTAATGCATTCATATTACAGTAAACTATACTAATTTTTTAAATATGAATCTTTATTCTAAAAAATCATTTATAATATATAACTTTGTACTAATTAAATTTGGATCTATTCCCATAACATATACCTAATAAAATCAGTCATAATCTAACTTTACACTAAATTCCACGTGACAATGGGACTAGTACCTACTAGCTACTGTAAGACTTTCCCATATAATATATATTATATATTATAGGTCTTACTTATGTGGTGCAAGTGGACTAGGCCTATTAAGTAATTGGTTGAACTAGACATTTAGGTTTAAGTCTTATTCCACCAATGTGCCTATATAAAGCTTGTATTGATGGAATACAAGATATATGATTATTATATGGTACTCCTGCTCAGAAAATACCAGTACACCATCTAAGGTTCTGAGTCAAGTATGAGACAAAACGACTAACCATATTCTGTAGATCTACTTTTCAAGAGGCAATACAAACATGATATCAACCATGGCTGGAGATCTACAGTGCTTCCGCTTCCGCTTCCGCTACTACGAGTTAAGTTTCTCGAAAATTATTCTCTGTATAGTTAGATCATATTTAGACCTTTTTCTTCCTGGCTTGGTTCCTACCCCACAATTGAAGTTTTTTTTTTTTTTTTTTTTTTTTTTTTTTTTTTTTTTTAACTTAAAAAAAAAAAAAAAAGAAAAAAAAAACACTCACAATCACTACTCGAATGAGTAAACTGCACTCCAACGAATAACGGCAAACTATATAGAAGAGATAAACCGTATTAAGAAGATCATATGCGACAACCCATGTGGCCTACAGCTTAGAATATATTTTTTTTAATGAGTAAATACGTTTAAATGAAAACAAATAATATTGTATGTTTCCAAATGCCCACGGGTTAAATATGGATTTCCAGATTTTTTTTTTTTTACAATCTATCTGTTTTATTTTTCTCCTTGTGTTAGGTATATAGGTGCCTAAGACGCGATTCTTTAGGAATCCTTCGCTATAGAAACATCTTACATTTTCGTTTATCAAATAATATAAACCGAGATCTTCTGAAATTAATTAGAAAATATCGTTTTGTCCACTTTAATGAGTGAACCAAAAAAAAAAAAAAAAAAAAAAAAAAAAAAAAAAAGTCTAACTGTAAATTTGACATTTTGAGCACAGTACACTGCACGTACTACATTCGCCCACCCATACGATGCGAGGAATAAATTTGAATTTACGAAAAAAATGCACAATTGCTATTTGAATGTGCGTTGTAGGTGATGACCTCAACTTCTATGCACATGTAAAATAGTAGACTTGACTTGGTTTGAATTAAAAATGCTCATGATTTTTACCATTGATCGACCTTTTCATACAAATTTGAATAATTCAATTACCCTTATGTGTTAGTGTTGCTATTTGACCCTATGCAACATCTTTAACCAAAAAAAGTATTGACAACAATTGAATTTGTAACATTCTGGTGCGAGAATCATACTTCACATACTTGTCACTCATCGGAATATTTGGTTTGTATTTAAAAAGTGTTGTTACAAATTCTTTTACAACATACACTAGTTATATGAGTAAAGATGTAATTGCCTGCATGGGTAGCTCAATTGGTTATAGAGGTGAAACTTTGGAAGAATGACCATGGATTAAGTCTCGTCAGCGGTAGCTTTGTCGGGCCGGGATGTGAGGGGCCCTTGGGATTCAACTTTTTGGAAGAATGAGTAAAGATGTAACGGTGGTGGATCCACGCGGGGAGGGGGCAATGAGGACTGTAGCCTTTAATTAATATTCATTGTCTTAATACACATACATCAAGTCATAATTAATTAACCATGTATAACGTTCAAACGTATTATGAACGTTGTGCTATCACACTTCAAAAAAGAAATTGGTCGTTTATCATATTAAATTAGCTGTAATTAGTCAATAATGACATTTAATTTTGTTTTAAAAAATTAATAATGATATGTACTTGAAAAGACACGTGTCAATCTTAATAATATGATTTTTTTTAACAAATGTAT